GGGTGGGGTCGCGCTGGAGCTCGGCTCCTTGGAAAGGGGCGGGGCACGCACCCCGATCTTGGAGCCGACCCGAGGGGGGGGCGGGGCCTAGAGGGAACGGGTCGTGAGTCTGGGGGAGGGGTAAGACTTGGCCCTAAGATGCCTCTGGAGGAGGGTAGGTTCTGCAGTCAGCGTTAGTAAAGGGGGACAAGTTTGCGGCGGAGACAAAAAAAAAAAAAAAAAAAACAAAAAAAAAAAAAAAAAAAAAAGCGCTTGTGGGGGCGGGGCCTGGTAGGAGATGGGGGTGGCCAGAGCGCAGCCAATAAATTGTGAGGCGAAGTTTGCTACCCTCCCGTAAGGGGCGAATCTGCAGTTTTGAGGACACCTGGATCAGTGGTTCCCACTCTTGATCACACAGGGAATCACTTGGGGAGCTTGAGAAAAATACTGATGCCTGAGTCTCACCCCTAGACATTCTGATGAAATTGGTCCAGGATGCAGCCTGGGTGGTGGAATTGAGACGGGGCCAAAGAGCGAACAAGAGTTTGGATATTTCTGACCCTCTCCCATTTCCTTTTTCTTTCTCCCACGGGTTCTTTTCGGAAGCTTCCTTTGCCTACACACCTGCAGGTAAGCCATCTCTGCCCTGTGGGGTTCAGTTCCCCAGGACTGGCTCCTCTCGCTTAGTCTCTGCTCACCTTCCCCAGTGTCCTTCCCACACTCAGAGGGCCTTTCTGGAGACAGTTCCAGGTAATTCTCTCAACTCATCTTCCAGGGATAATCCGTTCCCACCCCCGCCCCGCCCCCCAACTGAGAGACCATGCTCTTCCTTTCCAGGCCTCACCCCCTACTCATGCCAGCTAGCTCCCATCTCCTACCCTAGACACCACCATTACTGTCCTACAGCCTCTGATTACCCCTGCCACCTTTACCTCCCCTGGCCTGTTCTCGCTCTCCAACTGAACATTCACACACTCTCCCTCAGGCCACCCATAGGCCTTGGCCCTGCTCCCTACCCATGGCTCGCAGACTCCTGGCCTCACCCATCTCGAAGCCCCTCAGCCCAGGAACCCAGGGGAAGCTGCTGCCCCAGCAATCCTGACCCAGATGACAGATACTACAATGGTGAGGAGTTCTGATTCCCTCAGGGGCACACCTGGCCCTAGCATCCTTCTCTCCTTTCAACCTACTGGGGCACACTGAAGGGAGCAGAGGAGCCCCAGCCTCCCTGAGGTTGGTCAGTCCTTCGGAGGGTGGGAAGTGAGGAAGGCTCCCTCATGCCTCACCTGTACCCTGGATTGGGCAGTAAGATTTGGGGTAGGGGAAGAAGTGATCTGTCTGGAGATATCTCCTTTGGCCCTCCATTCTGCTGTGCTCTGTTTTTCTGTGTCTGCCCCTGCTTCCTCCCCTGGGCCGCCCTCTTTCTCCTCCTCAGAAGCAGGAATCTCCCTTTACCTGGCTCAGACGGCCCGGGGCACTGCCGCCTCTGCTGAGGGTCCTGTCTACAGCACCATTGACCCCATTGGGGAGGAGCTGCAGACTTTCCATGGGGGCTTCCCCCCAAACACCTCAGGGGACCCAGGCACCTGGAGTCACTACGCCCCTCCAGAATGGAGTCAAGGGGACAGTGGTATGACTCTAGTTCCTCATACTCTACTCTTCCCCTTGGGGGACCTAGCCCATCACTTCCTTCTGACATGTCTCATTTCTGCCTCTTCCCTGCCTGTATCTTGGTGTGCCCCATCCTGCTCTCCTCAGGAGCCAGGGGAGGTAAAGTGAAGCTTCTGGGGAAACCTGTGCAGATGCCCTCACTCAACTGGCCGGAAGCCCTGCCGCCACCTCCCCCTTCCTGTGAACTGAGCTGTCTTGAGGAGCCTGAGGAGCTGGAGGGCGGGTAAATATGCACCCTGCTGCAGATGCCCTTACAGATGGGACCAGCCCAGGGGGTGGGCGGAGAGCTGGGTGAAGAAGAGAAGGGGCAACACGTAGCCAAGGGGAAGGTATGGAGGTTACTCAGTCATCTCCGCGCTCCTGCCTCTTTCCCCCAGCTCAGAGTCAGGAGAGTGGTGCCCGCCAGTGCCTGAGAGGAGCCACCTGGCAGAGCTCAGCTCCAGTGGAGGCTGCTTGGTCCCTGCATCCCGAGGGGAGACCCCCTCTCCCACACCTTCCTATGGACAGCAGTCCACAGCCACTCTCACCCCCTCACCTCCTGACCCTCCCCAGCCCCCCACCGACATTCTCCATCTCCACCAGATGCCCAGGTAGGGAGGTGTGTAGTACCGTGCACATTATAGACTCTCAGTACGTATCTATTCAGTGGATGGTTGGATGGATGGATCTGGGGTACAGAGGTGTCATGGCTGTATCGGGGGGAAGTGTGGAGGCTGACAGGTCCCTCACTCTCTTCAGGCTGTTTCTTCATTGGAATGACTTTACAACCTCCTGGGTTGTTTCAAAGATGTGGCTTACCTCATGCTTCACTAGCTTGGGAGCCTGGTGGGGATGGGCTGTGTCTTGTTCATTTGAGTACTCGGTTGTCTACACAGTGCCTGGCCCATTATAGACACTTAATGTCTGAGTCCTCATGTCATTGCAGGAGGGTGCCTGTCGGGCCAAGCTCCCCTCTCAGTGTGTCCCAGCCCACTCTGAGCAGCCATGAAGGGAGGCCTGCTGGCCTGGGTCTTGGCCCCACAGCCTCCCACCACCTCAGTCCCAGCCCTGTCCCTAGCACAGGCAGCAATGCTCCAGGTGAGTCTGTAGAACTCTCAATTTATGCCGCCTCCCCATACCCCGCTCCCAAGCTTGTTTCTTCTTCCCTCTTAAGTCCCTTTCCAGAACTTCTCTTTTACTTGCTCCTCTTCCCGTCTCCTGATGCTACAAGGGAGAACCCGGCAGGTGCCTGGGGAGATGACGCCTCCACTTCAAGGACACCGTGCCCGAATCCGAAAGAAACCCAAGGCTGTTTCCTACAGGCGGGAGCACAGTCCTGGGGGTGAGGGGGCCATGGACCTGGGGGATGGTGACAGTCGGTAGCAGGATTGGGCAGGAAACCAAGGGTGAACTCTTCGGGCTGGAATGGGGAGCAGGCAAACCCAAACCTTGGGCTGTTCTTTCGCAGCCTCCCAGTGCCGGGGATTGGGAGTGGGAGAGGGACTGGTGTCAGGGAAGCAGGAGACTCGCTGAAACAGGTCTCTCCCCAGACTTGCCTCCACCACCCTTGCCGCCACCCGAGGAAGAGGCAAGCTGGGCCTTAGGGCTGAGAGCAGCAGGCAGCATGTCCTCCTTGGAACGGCAACACAGTGGGGAGAAAAGGATGGTGCAGATGGGGCCCCTGGGGGCCCAGCGGGGCCCCCACCTAGATGGTAAGGAGGGCCAGGCAAGCTGCAAGGCCACTGCTATATAAGAAGGTGGGCTTTAGGACTGGAGGCTAATCGTACTCTACAGGAGGTACCCTCGAAGGGCTAATTTCAACCCAGCTCACCCCTTACAAAGATACTTGTCTCTCTAGCTCTCTCTGAGCAAAATCCCCTGAGGGTCCCAGGTTGTATCCTTCCCCAGGACTGAAGCCCTGATGGAAGAAGGATGGGAGCTGGGTGTTCAGTCTCTCCTTTCCCAGGGCTTTCTCTACTTGGGAGTCCCCGCGGGGTTCCGTGCACATTATGTCAAGGCCGTGTGCTGAGCATTCTGCTTCTTCTCAGCCTCCAGAATGACCTAAGCCCTATGGCTGCCCTCAACTTTTCTTCCAGAGCTGGGAATGTGGCCGGGGTGGCCCGGCAGGCTAGCAGTGTTGTTCTGCCCCCTGCCTGGGCCCAGCTACCCTTCTCTCTTTTGCTGCAGAAGAGGCCTGGGTCCCTTACAGCCGACCAAGCTTCCTGTCCCGGGGCCAGGGCGCCAGCACCTGTTCCACCGCTGGCAGCAACTCTTCCAGAGGCTCCAGTAGCTCTCGGGGCTCCCGGGGCCCTGGACGGAGCCGAAGCCGGAGCCGGAGCCAAAGGCCAGGACAGAAACACAGAGAGGTGGGGGCTGCGGATCACAAAACTGAGAGTAGAGGGCTCGGGAGGATGGGCCAAGGGGCGCCTGGACACGGGAAGATGGAGAAGGGCTTTTGGAGGAATTGTGGCCCAGTGAGTGAGGGGGCAGGAGGACACCTGGAGAACAAGTGACAAAGGGTGAACACAAGATGACACGTAAAGGATAGGAGAACTGGATCAGGCGAGAGGCTGATGCAAAGGGAGGCACATCCCCTCCTGTGGCCTGTTTGCCCTGGGCCAGGCCTTGCAAACCAGTGTCTCTCCTCTCTCTCTCTCTCTCTTTCTCTCTCTCTCAGGAACCAAGATGACTCTTGATGAGAATATCAGGATTTCTGTGGGGAAGGGCTTGTCCCTGGGCCGGGAGCCTGGAGGGGAGCCCTTCCCTGGTAAATGAGAGGGTGCAGAGAGGAGCCGGGAGGGGTCTCTTCCCTCCTGGCAATGATCATGGGGCTCCCTGAGAAACTGGCTTAGAAGCCAGGGAGCCAGCTTTTCCCTTTCCATCTCTTTTTACCTAAGACCCATTTATAAAAAAGACAATAAAGAGTCTGATCACAGCCCTGGGCCGTTTGTCTGGTTTTGTGCTGGTTGTAGGGGAGAAAGGGGCTTCGAGGGGGTATACATCAGCGCACTTCCTTTCAAACTTCTCTGTCAAAAGCTCCAGGTGAAGACAGGGACTAAAAGACGCAACCTGTTCTGCCTTCTAAAGGAGCTGAAGCCAGTGGGCCCCAGGTACAACCAGAGGAACTTTCCAAATCACCAACCACGAGAAACTTTTTTGGCCCTTGAAGAGCCGCGCCAGGCCCTCCCTTGGTGCCTCCTCTGGGTGTACCTTCTCTCCTGCAAAGGAAAAGCCCCTAGCAATAAAAAAAAAAAAAAAAAAAAAATTTAAACCTAAAGAGAGGAGGAGATTATGGGGGAAACACTGGTCAAGAAAAAAAAAACAAAACAGGTTTTTCAGACACCCGACCCCCTCACAGAGGGTGTGTGCAAACAGGCACCTCCTGGCTAGATTAGGCTGAGATGTGACTGATGTAATGGGTACAGAATTTTAAAGCATTTTGGCCGTGAGTCCTCATCACTCCCTTAGCCATGGCCCCTGCCACACACTGGTTCTCTGAGTTCTACTTCTCCTCGCTTCTGCAACCCCAACCCCCTCAGTCACTTCCCAGGGCTCTCAGGGAATGGTCGCCGCCTTCCGAGCCCAGGCTCTGACCTCCCCTGCCACTTGCACCTAAGTATGTACAAAATCCCTTTTTCTGCTTCAGTCTAGCAAACAGGGTTGGAATGTTTTCAAAAGGCATTATGCCAGGAAGCTAAAAGAAAAACAAAATCCAGAAAAGAAAAAGCCATCAGAGAGGAAGGTTGTATATCGGCAGCACTGATTCCTCCTCCTGGGCCACGCCCTCCAGTCCATAGTAGTGCAGGCAGCGCAGGGTCCCAAGCCCCCCCTTGCTCAGCCTCTCAGCGGAGTGGCCTCCAGGAGAGCTGCTGAGGTTTAGGGGATTATCATGCCCTCTCAGGACCCTTTCCAATCATCCCTAAGTGAAGATGTTTTCCCGTGGTCCTCTTCATGTTCGATTTGTGGATTCTGCCCTTGACCTTTCCCACCAAGTGAGAATGACACCCACCGTTCACCTGCTGTCGGTAGCTTTCTGTGGCGTGGGCCCTGGATGTCCTGCCTCACTGTTTCTCTGTTCTGTTGTTTTGGCTGAAGGGTGTTCACCAGCCAACCGTGACAGGTGGTTCTACCTTTTGTGGAATTAGCTATTTTGTCTATTTTAAGAAACCATCTGGGACTGGTCTTCGGGGAGGGGACTGGGACCGCTTAAAGCAGGGGTTGTCTTCTCAGGAAAAGTTAAGACCAGCCCTGAAAATGCCCCAGCCCTCCCTTTCCTAGCTTCTGCTTAAAATTTGATGGAGGCACCTAATTCTCCCCTCAGTTACAGAATAAAGATGAGTAACATCGCCGAGCGTCAAAGACTGCTTGCTCCCTCTCTAGCTCAGGTAATTCTTCCCGTACCTCCAGGTGCCCTCTCCAAAATGGTGCTCCAGGGAAAGCTCTCACAGCACTCAAGTCATTGCCATTTTATGGTATCAATTCCTTAAGCTCACAGTGACAAAAGTGGGAGGAGGGTGTTTTTTGTCTCACAGTCTGCACCTCCCTCCGTTCAGCTCCCTCCCTGGGTCCACCTGGAATCTTTGCCTTGGTGCTGAGGTGGCCCTGGGATCACGGCTCTGTAGCTCCTCCGCATGGTGTGGTGGGAGTTGGGCGGCTTCTATGGAACAGTCCCGTGAGGCTGAGGGGAGGCTTGAGGAGCCCCTTCCTCCATGGCCCTCCCCCACAAGCTTCTGCTGTCCCCCATACAGATCCCTGGCTCCCCCCCTCCCATGATCCACATGGGTGGGAGATCAGGAAACTGGGCTGCTCCCTGAGCCAAACAGCGTGGTTGTGGGATTGGACAGAGCAGAGGAAAAACAAGGATGTTAGGCGGAGATGGCTCTTTGTTCCCGAGGCTCCAGGTCTGCTTTGCTCTGATTTGGTGTTTCATTTCCCGGAAGGGAGGGCTCTCCTGGAGGCCAGATGAGATGGGCCCAACTGCAGAGAGAGACTCATCAGCCCAGATCCACAGTCCAGGGCCTGGGCCAGTGACTGACAGGAGAGGGGATTCCGAGTCTCTTCTTGGGGGGGCGGGGACGTGCCTCAGGAGGAGTCTAGAGGAGAATTGGAGGAAAGTGGAGTTATGCCCTGCTCCTGTCAGTCCTGCCAGACCCTAGGATCCCTCACGGTTCCTCCCCAGAACCACCCCAGCCAGACAGGCAGACACTTACTGCCAGCCTTGGGCACGGGAAAGCTGCACTGACTTCTCTGAGAAGAGATCTGAGAGTCTGGAGGCCAGGGAGGCAGCCCCCTTCCCAGCCGCTGGGGGTGGTTGCTCTCCACGTCCTCTAGCCAGTCTGACCTCCATTCCCACAGGGGCAGGGAGAAGGTAGGGGTCAGGAAGACGTCATCCCGGGGGGAAGGAGGCGATGAAGCATCTGTGGGGGAGGGTAGAGATATCTGCAGTGGGGTGGCCTTCACCCCTGGGAACTAGTTTAGGGTAGAAAGCCTGAGGCCAACTTAAGGCATACACCCAACCCGAAACATAACCTAGCCCCGACTCAGCCCATCGATCTCAGTGGCCCCAGCCCCAGTGACAGGAAGACAGTCCACTGGTTTCTTTAGAGAGAATAGCTCAAACTGGCCTTCTGCCCATAGTCTTCCTTCAACCTTCCATTCCCTGGCATCCTCTTTATTCTCTATTATGGGCACTTCTGCCCTGGATAATCCTTGCTCTCCCATTTCCCACAAACCTGGTTGTGTTTCTTGGGGGCAAAGGGCAGAGTTAGGGTTCATGAGATGAGGAAGGGAACAGATGAGGAAGGGAACACCAAAGGGGCACAGGGAGCCTTACGACCTCTGCTGACATGGCGATAACTCTGCCGGACATGTGAAGGGTGAGCCTAGTTCCTCCTCCGCACAGCCACAGACAGGGCAAGAGGAAGGGCTTGGAAGCACAGCAGAGGTTAAGAGAGAAAACAGAACTTCCCACAGTGAGGAGGAATCTGGGCTGGAGCACATAGAAGAGGCTGGGAGCCACCTTTCCTGGAGACGCGTCTGGGTGAGAGGGGTGACCTGGGTCGGGGGGCGGGGAGGGAATGGACTATGCAATGGACTGACTGCCTCTAGGCTGCAGGCTAGAACAAGTTCTTGTTCTCATGGGTGACCTTGGGCAAATTAATAAACCTGTTTGCCTTATAGTTTCCTCACTTGGAAAAGAAATATAAAGACTATTTCTCCGAGAGGTGCTGTTATTGAATATATGTAAAGCGCTTATCATAGATCCTGGGACGTAGGAATCATTTAATCAAACTAGCTGTTTTAAGGACCACAAGGAAGACCATAATTAGGAAGCTTTGCCTCTTGGTTGGAAAGAAAGGGGTCTTACAGGAGCTGTGTCGACTCCAAGGGGTAGGGGTGCTCTAACGTACCTGTGAAGATGCAGTCTGACTCCTTGGGCTCCAGACCAAAGCCAAGGCTGTCCACAGCCACTGCCAGGGCCCTTGCGAAGTGGGCATCTGCGAGGAAGGAGCCATCGGAGGAGCTGACGAGGCTGGTTCTGGCGCTGGGGGCATTGTCCTCGGAGGCTGAGCCCCAGCCATTGGCCAAGGAGCCCTCACTGGGGGTGGGGGTGAGGCAGGGCCGAGGGGGGCACAACAAGCCCCTCACCTCGGACCCCACCCCTCCTCCAGCCCTGTCTATGTCTGCTAGCTCTGAGGCTGTCGGGACGCTGATGTACCCATAGGTGATGGGGGGTGAAGGAGCCCTCGGCATAGGAGAGACGCTGTTCCTAGGAAGAGGCGGAATGGGAGACAGTACGATGATTGAGGTGGGGTAGGATGGGAACATTCCCTTTGAGGAAGGGTGGGCCGGGATAGGGATAAGCATACTCTAGTTCTTCAGTTTTCCCTCAGGCTACTCACCTGGGGGTCTCTTCACCCTCACTGAACTCTAGGCAAAGGGCCACCTCCTCAGGAGTCAGCACACTGTCCTGATCGTCCCCCAGAGATGACAGTGAAGAGCTGGACAGGCGACTGGAGGCTGGGCTGGGACCAGAGAGGGAAGAGGCCTGGGGACTGGAGGGGATGAGGATGGGGTTGGGGGCTGCTGGCAGTGGGTGGGAGGGGGGAGCTTGGAGCTCCACCAAGCGCCTGATTGGGGTAAGAGAGAGATGGCAGGATGGTTAGTGCAGTTCTTCGAGTCCTTGTCCACCCCTCCCCCAGCCCTGTTTAAGCTCAACTAACACCCCTCACCTCTCACCCCCAATCTCCCGACCCTACTTCTTGACCTCATGCCCTCTTACTGCGTCGGTTGATTCTGAGTGGGGACTCCATGAGAAGAGGGGGTTGCTGTGGGGAGAGGGCGAGTCAGCTCACTGGAGGAGCTGAGGAGCTGTGGTCCCAGGGCCCGCCAGGCAACCAGAGCTTGGGGCGCAGCTCCTGGGGAACAATAGCCTGGGTTTGAGAATGGCAGAACCCCCATTGGCCTGCACCCCTGCCCACCGCATCACTCAGCTTTCTGTTCCCACATCCCGCCCACCCAGCCTTCTCAAGGACAGGAGCCGGTCGTAGGGGCCGGTAGGCCCCTGCTCCCTGCCTCGCCCCCTCACTTCCTCTCACCTGGGCTTTGAGAAAGGTTCTTGGAGCCTTTATTCCCCAGCTCCCAGGCCCAGTGCTCCATGGGGTGGCTGGCCCGGAGCAACGGGGAGCTGTTGGCTTGGTGCAGTTCTGTAAAGAAAGTCAGTGGTTGGGAGACAAGCCAGGGTGGGCCTTTCGGACCCAACCACAGGCTCCATCTTTAGCCTTGTCACTCAGTTACGCTTTAGGGTCCTCTCTCTGTCCTCTTCACCTCCCACCTTCATCCAGGCAGCTGTGATAAGGTGGGAGGGGCATTAGGCTTGGAATCGAAAGATGGGCACTCACAGCCCTGCTATGAACCACATAGCAGCTGTGCAATCTCAGGTAAATCCATTCACCTTTCTGAGCCTCAGTTTCAGATGTTTTTGCCAATTAAAGAAAGAACAGATTGGAAAGTTCCTGGCACCTTATAGCTTTCTTTTTCTTTTACTGTATACATTCCAATCTTCCTGATCTCTGTATACTCCCATCCCTACTCTTCTCATGAATTTCACCTCTGTGAAGACTATTCTCCTTCTCTTGGAGAGAATCTATTAATTTTCATTTCTCACATTGCGACTATCTCACATGGTTCTAGCTAGCCCTGCCCTGAGGAACCCGAATATCTCTCGCCTGGGGGTGGATTGGACTGTCAAATTGAGCTGGATGGGTAAGATAAAATAAGTAACCCTAGACCAGGCCAGCTGTGACAAGAAGAGGAATTTTATAATAGGAAGATGTGTTGGTCTCACCCAGGGAGGCAATGCCTTGCCCAAAGATAGTCAATATTTGTGTGAATAAACAAGTAAATGATGGATGCTATCAGAGATGTAGGTGTAAACATGGGGTGAGAAGAATCACGTGCAAGATGGCAGCTACCACCTGGCCCACAGGGCCGCTTAAGACAGGGCTGAGTGAACTCTGACAATAGAGAAGCTGAGGTAACTAAAGGAACAGATCCGACTGTGTGCAATGACCTGTGAGCATGCTTTCCGGTCAGGCCCAAACCCAAATGGATCTAAGCTTAAACCAGAGAGAAACTGGGTAATAGAAATAGAAAATAATAGATTTCCTCAAGACCAAGAACCAGGAGAACATGAAGCAAGGAGGAAAGAAAGAGCCTTCAGATTAGTATCACATGTTCAAAAGCCCAGACCAAAGACCAGGCAATATCCTTGAGGCAGAGCTATCTCGTCAGTCTGATCTCAACCTTGGTGGCCACCATGGGCAGCTCAGAGCAAGGACGAGACCAAGATCCCATCTGAGCCCTGGGAATTCATGTACAGTGGCCAGAGCTTCTGAGCCGCTGGGATCGAAACCCACATAATGGCTAGACGTCCTCCACCAGAGTTTGGTTTTGTACTTTGGCTGATCGGTTTATGTTCATTTCCTTTAGTTGTTGGATGACCTAGGGAATCCTGGAGGCCAACTTCAGGTGCTCCAACTGTGCTGTCATCAGCTTTGGATTCTTAACTAAGCTCAGAAAGAGAGACACGCGTTGGTTGGTTGGTTTGTGTGGAAAGGGAAGGGAAAAGGCCAGTCCTGGAAAAGGCCATATTTGTCCCAGCCTATTTCATTTCCTCTAAAGGATTCTGGTAACAAAAAGCCTTTGCCCACTTGGAATTAAATTACTTGGATTTTAGTTTCAATGTTATTTGAATATACTATACAATAAAGATGTTATCAAGGCTAGACCAAATCTCATCTGGCCATACCTGTATTGCAATAAATACTTGTTCAAATTAATGAATTAATGAGGATATCCAGTGTATGTATCTTGCAAAGTAAGCGGAACTAAGAACCCGATATAATGGATGAAACACAGGAGAATATTAGTCATGGAGGAAAAACACAGCTAAGGTCATATGATAAGAAAAAGGAATAAGCAGGTCAAGGGTGAAGGGGCACCGAGAGAGCCTGCCAGTTTTAGAAGATGAAGACTCATCAGTCTTGGACTATGTGACAGCACTGGAGCCGATGCCGTGGCTCTGGACCAGACCACAGCATCATCTTACTGTAGTCGCTGAGGTCTCAGGGGTCAGAGGTGGGCCAAGTGTCCCTCAACCCAGGGGAGTCCCCGTGATTGACCCATCCTGGGGCAGCGGTGGGGTGGAGCTGCGGTGAGGAGAAACAGGGGTGAAGTGAGGACCTAACCCCCTGAGGGAGGTTAGAAAGCCCCATCTCCGAACTTTCTTAAGAATCCGCTGCAGAAAACTACTTTCCCTTTTCTAACAGTACTGATATTCTAAAAGGCGCTGTGTGCTATATCCAAGGCCATGTAGTTCTCCATAGGAAAGCTTGTTTTTAAATGAGACTTGTGCAACCTCTTTTTGGCTGGTATTTTATTACCACTGAGGATTTCTAATGCAATAGTTCTGAGGCGAAGCTGGAAAGAATAACAGCTTCACTAATATTTAGAGTCAGAAAATTGTGGATATTGGACAAGCTCGGAATTACTCTGAATCTATCCTTGTCTTAACGCAAGTTGGATTATAAATTTAAAAAAAAAAGTGGCTGTCGAACATTTGTAAATCTTACTGATCGGTAGAGAAGGCTCGTGAAGAAAGCATACAGAGTGCAGGCCAGCGTTCAGAGAGATGAAAGAGTCAGCGAGAAGACAGGGTTTCCCAAGGGTGCTCCCAGAGAGACTCTTAGTAGCCTTGCGGAGCAGACCACTCTGGCTTCAGATTTAAGTTATGCAGCTTACTGATGTGAGATTTTGAACAAGTTACCCAATCCCAATCCTCTTTCCTTCTGTCTGTAAAATTAGAGAAATAATACTTAGCATGTTATGAGGACTAAATGAAATAGCAGATAGAAGTAAAGCACCTGACATATAGAGGTGATTAGCTAAAGAAGCAGAGACTATAACTAGTTCTCTCTGGAAAGTCAAACAGGTTGCCGGAAGTCAGGAGAGAAATCTGAGCAGAGAGTAAATACTCCTTCTTCTCTGGGAAGTGAGCTGGGCAGACAGACCCGTATGTAGAGCACAAAGACCAGTGTTTATGGGAGCTGGAGGCTTCACAGCAGCACTGGTCACATTCTGCCAGGTTCCAGAATGAGTTGCATATGCCAGTCAGGCAATTTCATTAGACTTTGAGTGCTTAGAAGGCAAGGACTGTGTCAGGTATTTCTAGTGTTGCCACATTTGTCATACAGTGACACTTATTAAATGTTTGTTAAGTTGACTGCAGAAACAGGTCTCACTTCTGGTGTGGTCCAAACGAAACAAGAGCACAGTGGAAAGAAAAGCTGAGACCAGCATACTCCTAGCTGAGTGTTTTGGCGATGGGCGTCCACGACGACAGGAGAATCAGAGCTGTGGATGGGGTACCACCCATACTTGGTTTCAAGGCTCTGGGCCATGTTTCCACCACATTCTCACTCCTGGTCCCTCCTCCCATCTGTTCCAGGCTGAATCTGTCCTCCCCATCCTTACCCTGCTTCTTTTTGGCCTTCCAAGCCTCTGTGGGGGCCATGGACAAGCGCGGAGAAGAGAGCCCCCTGCGGCTGCAGAGGCTGTCTGAACTGGGCCAGGGGCTGGAGAGCCGGGCCAGCTGGGGTGGGAGACGCTTGACAGTTGGGGCGTGGGGGCTCAGCCGCGCTGGAGGGCTGGAAGGCAGTTCAGTGATGAGGGAGCCATAGAAAGTGCTGGTGTCGGGAAGCAGGGGCACTCCGGGGCTGCGGGGATCCCAGGAGATCACTGTGATAAAAATGGCAGGAGTCATTATGGTGAATGCATCTCACTCCATGTCCCCTCCTGCAGTCCTGGGATCCCTGCTCCACTGCTGGGCCCTGGCCCCCACTGGGCATGCTCACAGGAATGAGGACAGCCTAGTGGATCCCGGGGGTCTACTCCTAGTCGGCTGCTAAGGCTGCTGCTGCTGCTCAGGTCCCGAGAGCCAGAGGTGGACTGCCAAGTGTCTGCCAGCCAGGGAGAGTCACTGCGATCCATCCTGGGGCAAAGGAGGGGACGGGGCGGTAGAAACAGGTTGAAGTGAGAACCTAATTGGCCAAGACCTCCAGCTCAGAGCACAGATGAAGCGGGTGAGAAGATGGTGGTATTGGTTTTATTCTGCCTACTTTTTTTTTTAGCCTTTCAGACTCCTTAAAATCTGTGATCCAGTGCCCCAAACTCAGTGCCCTTTCTTATCCTGGGATCAGGCCAAGTCCAGGTTGCCCAGAGCCGGGAGGTATTAAAGAGAGACAGCTGTGTGCTAAGACAGAAAGAACACAGATCTAGAGGCAGACGAACCCAGTTTGAAAATCCCCATCTGTCACAGCCCAGCTGTGCAGCCCTGAGAGTAAGTCTGTCAACCTCTCTAACTGTATCAGCCGTAGTTTTCTCATCTGTAAAGTGGCAACAACAGACCCTCTGTATAAGGCCGATGCCGTGAGCTGAAATAAGGGTGTGAGATCACACGGCTGGCAGAGCAGGAGCTTGCTACATGGATGTTGGCCTCTCTACCTCTAATCTGGTTCCCTTTGAACGGGGGAACATGCCGGCTACCGGAGTGATCTTTCAACAACAGGGATCAGACATTTAAGCATCTCTGCCTAAAACCTTCGATGACTCCTCATTTACCAAGACAGAGCCCAGCTATCTAGCATGGCTAACAGGGCCCTTCTTGGTCTGGCTTCCAGTCTCTCTAACTGATCCTTTGCTCTGACCTGCCTCATACCCTATGCTCCGGCCAGACCTAACGGCTTGTCTTTCCCTGTGAATACAGCAGGCTATTTTTTGCTGCTCCTTTTGCCCTTCTCCTCTTTACCGTCAGGGTAAATGTGAAATCTTCCTCCCATATTCCCCCAACCCCAAATCCCTCCATGTATCTTGTCCATATTTCTGAACTTTCAACTCTGCATTGCATTCATATGCCAGCATGGCCGTCTCTGTCTAGACTGAGTTCCTGGCAGACAAAGACTGTTCTAAAGTAATGAATAAATCTCCTTCAAGGACAGAGATAAAGTCCCGGGGAGGGAGTGGAGTGGGGGTGGGACGGAGAAAGTTCAGGGCAGAGCAGACAAAGCCCAGGAGGTAACTAAAGATCAAGGCCGGTGAGCACAGAACAATGCAAGAACATGGCACCAGCTTGCAACCTTGCTCTAGGCTGAGAAACTGACAGCAAAATGGTCTGGCTGGTTGTGTCTGGCACACAGTAGGTGCTCAAAAAACTTCCGTTGAAAGATGTAGACCTGGAATGTGAAGCCTGCAGAGGAAATCTATTGAGATAAAGAGCAAGAGGAGGTGAGGAGAGATGAAATGGCTAGTGTAAAGCTTAGCCAACAGCAGGAAAAAAAGAACGTTTTCTTTTTTAGTATCTTGTCTGATAACCACAGTCTTCTTCTGGCAGCCAAACGCATTTGGAGCAGGAGTACTTGCAACCAACCAGCTTACCCTGTTTCTGAGAATGAGTAAGGATCAGTGGTGTGAGGGCAGAGCGCCCTCTGCTGGATCCATGAGTGGATTATTGTGAAGGAAAGATGGCTCAATAGGTGAGTGATTTACGAGTACAGAGGCACTGCTTGGTGAACGCCGACTGTACAGCAAAAAGTAGAAATTAGACTAGTCCTCCCATGCTAGTTATTCTTTACCCAGCAGAATGAGTTAGCAGGAAAGGGTCAGTATTAGTGAGAAGTCCGTGACAAGAGCTCAGGATCAGGATTTCAGAAGGCCAGCTGTGTTGCCTTGGGCTAAGTCACTTAAGTTTATGATTCTTGGTGTATTCACCTGTCAAGTGGTGTGATAGCAATATTATTGGAAAAGAAATTAATTCTCACTTGGAGTTGAGAGATTCAGGTACTAGGATTTCAAACTGCCTGGAGTAGTCCCATCTCCACTGTCCCTTGGCCCCTCTGCCCCTCCCTCACCTCAGACTCCTCCCCATTCATCTCTCACCTGTGTTTTAGGATGGCATCCTCACTGGTATATCTGTACAGACCTGAGAAAGGGCAGAAAGAAGGCCAAATCTAGAGTTGCCAACACACGGCTAGAGATCTAACCTTCCTTAGCGTTCTCACTAGACCCAGGGAGGCCTGCCTATCTGGGGTCCAGTTCACCCTCTCACCTGGGCCCAGGTGCACCGCAGCTCGGCGCCGGTGGTGAACACATACTGCAGTGCCCAGCAGCAGCAGCCAGAGCACAATACCCCCACTGGCAATGACCTCTGGACGCCTCAAGGTAGCTCTCAGCTGCTCCAGGGTCCATGGACCATGGTCGTTTGGTTCTCGGGCGGCTCGCTCCATGGCCTGCTCTGTATGGGATTTGGAGCTCAGGGGGAGGGGGCAGGTGAGGCAGTGGGGGTCGGACAGAGAAGGAGGAGAAGCTGGAAGTGTGAGGTAGGAGCAGGGAGCAAAGAGAGAGAAAGGTGGGAATTGGCGCTGAAGGAATTGGGGTGAGACTGATGGGTACTGCTCTCACCTAAAATGAGGCAGACGGGGCTACTGGGCTCCCCAGCCCCAGCACCAGTGACCGCAGCTACTTGCACACAGTAGGAACCTGGCGTTTGGGTGGCAATCTCTAGCTGGGTCTGCTCGGCTGCCACTGTCCAGTTGGTTGGTAGAAACGAGGTGTTTCCCAGACTCCATACCTGAGGACAAACAGGGTGAGCAGCACCCTCAGGCACCATCCCAGCAGCTGAGTCCTTCATCTGTAGATCTGGGCCTGTGGTACTCCTGCCCTGCCATTTACTGGGGAATGCTCCACCTCACCTGCACCCACACTTCTTATTCCTGTGTCTTACATCTGTGACCTTGTCCTCACTTTTCACGTCCGTAAATTAGGACAAGAACCCAGGGTAGACTGAGAGATGAAATGAGAGGGTGTAGGTAACTACTTGGCAAGGTCTGGCAGACACCTGCTCAACAACAGTAAGTGTCCATTACTTCTCTGCACAGGCACATTTCTCAGTGCTCAGAGCAGGGGCCGGCAGGATGCCAGGAAAGGGGGAGGTCCTGGCACCACTAGGAGGTGTGTCAACTTGTGGGGGGTACCTGGTAGCCACGGATGACGCCATTGTGGTTTTCAGCAGGTGGTGGAACCCAGTTCATAAGGACACTGCCATTGCCAAGTTTTAGGGTCACCTCCTGGGGAGGGGCACTGGGCACTGGGGGGAGGGAGAGAGGCTGTAAATGCAGAGAAAAGAGCTGAGATGGGGACACAGGGTCAGAGGCGACCCTGATGAGAATAGGAGAACTGCTTGCCTGATTAGGGCAGGAGTCTCCGAGTAAGATCCTCCATCCCCCCAGACTGGAGTGGGACAGTCCAGGACCCCCCAGACAAGAAGGGACCAGGGGGTCAATTGTTGGGTCTGGAGGGAACTGTCCCTGACCTTGTTCGGGCAGCCTCAGGAGCAGCACGTTGCTGTCAGGGCCTCGAGCCCGGCCAGAGGATGGTCTCACTTTGAACTCGTAGTCTTGGCCCCAGCGGAGGCCGCCAAGCTCTGCGCTCTGCCAGCCAGCCAGCAGGGCCTCTGCCCACGGAGCTCCCTGGCCTCCCGAGGCCGTCTGGGCCCTGAACAGCGCTGTGTAGGACTGAGCAGGCGCAGCAGGGCCACTCACCTGGGAGAGAGTCCAGAGAAAGGTCGAGGGGTCAGGGAGCTCATGCTCAGCCCTTTTGTGAGCCCTGGACTGGCTCCCGCCCCTGGGTGCTGGGCCTCACCTTCCAGCTGAGCCACACAGCAGGCCCAGGCTTGGTGCCCTTTGTGGGTTTCGGGTTCATCAAGGTCACGTTTTCCAGCCGAATGTGCATAGCCAGAATCTCCAGAGGCTCCTTGTAGTCCTGGGGCTCTGTGGGAGCAGAGGCACGGGATGGGGCCTGCAGGCCAGAGTGAAGGGACTGAGGAGGGGGATGTCCCTTAGCTACAGAGAAACCCAAACTTCCAGATTTCTCAGGTCTAAAGCACTCCTAATTCCACTCTGGGATCGGGGAACCTACCCTTAAGTGAGGTCCCCGCCACTCTGACCCTGACCCAGCCCACACCAGACCACAGCGCCCTAACTGGAGTCCCCACATTGGCCCTGATTCTAGCTGACTGCTCTTCCCTTACCCTGGACCGACACCCTGGCTGCCCGGCTTTCCCGTCGTCCTGCGTCATTGGTGGCCACGCACATATAGGTCCCTGCGTCGCTCTTCTCTGCTCTTACCATCAGCAAGGAACCTCTGGATACCTGTCAGGGCCAGGTGCACTGTGAAGTCTCCCATGTGGGGAGGGGCTCTGACTGGGGAGGGCAGACATCATCAGGCAGCTTAAGGCCTCTGAGCCTCCCTTTCTCAAATTCTGCAGGGACTCGGGGCTGGAGAGTGGGTCAGCCCCTCAGGGTGTGCCCCATCGTGCCCAGGACAGGATGACGTATGGGGAAGAGGGCTATACTTACTGTGTGCCGCCCGGGCTGGAGGGCCAGGGGTTTCCCATCCTTCCACCATGTGACTGTGGGCTCTGGGTGGCCCCAGGGTGGCCTACACTCCAGGGTCACCTGCTTACCCACCGTGGCCACTGCGTCCCGTGGATGGATCTGGAAATCCTCCCAAAGGACTGCGAAGAGGATGGAGCGTCCGCAGGGAGCAGTGTCCAGTCCTCCCCATGCCAGAGGCACCCGCTCGATGTCTCTTATCACACCTGCCCCATTTTACTCTACCCGCCTTGTCACTGACTTGTGTCCACTCTTCAGAGCCCCACCTCCAGGTCTCCCATCTAAGTTCACCCCTGACCCAGCTCTCCCCTCCCATCCCCTAGCCCCGGCCTCCCCTCACAGATATCCCCTCAAACCTCCCTCACCTCAGGCATCTCACCCCAGGTGTCCCACCTTACGCCTCCCCTCCCAGGCCTCACCAGCCACAGACAGCCGAGCACCTCGGCTGACGGCCGTGCCCAGCCGGTTGCTAGCCTCACAGGTGTAGATGCCTAGGTCTGTGGATCGGGCCTGGTCCTTGTGGGCACGTCCCTGGGTTGGGGGCCGCAGCAGCAGCAGGGTTCCATCAGGTAGGAGGTGGTGTACGTCTGGGGGCACCATACTCAGAGGCTGCCCATTCAGCAGCCAGCGGATGGTGGGAGGCGGCTGGCCTGAAGCTCGGCAGCTCATCTTGGCAGGGCCAGGGCCCTGGAACAGCTGGTCCTGGGGGTGGACTAGAATCTGAGGTGGGAAGTCCTGAGCCTTGCCTCCTGGGAGGGAAAGGGAAGCAGAGCCTGGTCTGACTATCAGAAGGCCTCCCAAACCGCTGCATACCTCATCTGCATCCAAATAGCAAGCTAGCTGGGAGGGGAGAGTGCCTGCAGAGCTCTCAATATGTCTGTCTCTCTGTCTTACACACATATTATCACCATTACCATCATCATCTCTGGGGCCCCTACAGCAAAAGGGAGGCAAAGGAACAAGGAGGCATCTTCTTCCCTGGCCAGGCCTTGGATCAAGGGAGCACGGGCCAGGAGAGAGGAGGGCCACACTTACCCGAGCCGAGCAGAAGCAGGAGAGGCAGGGGCCACCAGGCCCCAAGGAAGCCGGCTCCTCCAGAGCCCATGGCTACTCTCAGGCCTCTTTCCTGGTCCCAAGCACTTTGTCCTGCTGCTCTGAGCTCATAGCAAGGGAAGGAGGGGCGGGGCGGGCTGCTGGTGGTTGTTTGTGGTTGAGAATGCCCCAGAGGGAAGCAGCTTTGAGGAAACCGATGCTTCCTGCCTGGCCCTCAGAACCTTGAAGAACTGGGAGGAGCCCAGAGGAGAGATATTCTCCAACCTTGACCCTCTAGCTATAACCCCTGACTCCAACATCAGCCTTAAGGTTTACCTCGTGATTTAGCCTGGAATTTCTTAAAGGTAATCTTCACACCAACCACAACTCTGACCACAGCCTTGATCATTTCACCTTAAACCTCTATTTAAATCTTGAATACCCATCCTTATCCCTTTGCTTCCAAGTGACCCTCCGCTAGGGTAGAATGGAAACCCAGAGGCGGAATCTCAGGGCACAGCATAAAGGATCTAAGGATATAGGAAAGTGGACTATGGGCGGAGGAAGCTAAGTGGAGGGGAGCAGGAGTGTATAGTCATTCTTTAATCCATTCCCCAAGGATAGATGAGGCTTGGGGGTGGGTAGGAAGATAGCAAGGATTCAGAGGCTCTGGGACAAGCTGGAGATGCCGGCCCTGTGTTCCTATTCAGCCCAGAGATAGATGAATAAGCTTCTGGGAGACCTTGGATAAGTTCCTTAACCCCTGCAAGTCACTTTCTAATCTGTAAGTGGGAATAATAATAATAGTGCCTTTCCTTCAGGGTTAGAATAAGAATGAGATGAGATAAAATCACTTAGTACAGTAACCTAATGCATTATAAGTTATCAGCAAGTTTCAGCCAATGTTGTTATCTTTATGCATATTCTATTCCTGAAACTATTCAAGCATCCTCAGCAGGGATAGTTCTCAGGTCCTGGAAAGGTGGTTGGACTCAATGATCTTTAAGAGTCTTTCTAGCCCTGAAACCTATATCCGTAGCAGATGGGCCTGGAGCTTCTGAGTCTGCAATGTCAGTGCTCTCCCCCTGCAGCTCCCCACCCCCTCCCCGGAGAGAGGCTGCTCTCCTCTCTCAGAGCCCAGCTCCTGTTTACAGGTCTCTTCCTTCCAAATCTGGAATCTCAGCCATTTCCTGGAGCTGTTCCCAGAAGGCCAAGGCCGGGCTCAGAGGGCTCAGCGGAAGAGTGTCCAGCCTTTGTTCACAACTTTCCTGGCCAGCTTCTCTGTGGGGCCCCTAACCCAGCTGACTCCCTCTCTTCCTCCCCCTTCCCAGCCTGGCCTCAGTGCCAGCCACAGCTCTAACAGCCTATCAAGAGGAGTGAAGGTCTCTTTCACAGCTTCTTCTTTTTCCTCTCAAATGCAGACTAAGACCAATTAAGAACCAGAGCCAGAGAAGCCCATGGTCTCTACAGCCTGGGCGTTTCCAAGAGATGGAGAATAGAATGAAACTAATGGAGTGACGGAGCTAGAAGAATAGGAATTGGGATCGGAAAATAGTTTGGTATTTCAGAAGTGGAGGAGCTAAGGGCAATGACAAATTCCATGGCATGTGTGCCTGGCAGGGTAAAGTAGAATTTACGGGGTCAAGGATTTGTGGGGCCAGTGGGATGAAGCGGGTATTCATATGGACACTGAAGTCAGCCAAGGACCAGACAAGAAAGAATGTGGTGAGGCAGATGGATTAACTGCATACACAGCCAACCTGAGATTTCCCAGGTACAGAGCCCTTAAGCCTGTGTAGCTCCCTGACTGCCTGCTCCCCAAGAGTCGCTGTCAGCAGTCCTTCGTTAGTCTCTTCTGTTTATATGTTAGACTTGGGGAGATTAACCAAGTTCTCTGCTAACGATTTAATGCCAACTTGATTTTACTCAAATCTGTATAATTCAGAAAGTGGTATAAATTTCCCTCAGAGAAAAAAAAGATGGCAAGTCCCAAAGGAATTCAGATTGATGACTAGCCCTGTCCTCAGCTGAGTGAGAATGGACAGGTGACACAGTGAGGAGGGCTACCAGTGCTATACTGCAGGAACGGAGTCCCAGAGGCTATGGCAGCCTGAGGAATGAATGGCTCCTGCCTCACAGTCCTGAGCCTCATCCCTGGAGACTGCTGTCATTCCATTCCATTCCACTCCACTCTATTCCATTCCAGCCTCTCTTCATTCCCAGGCTCTGGAGAGCCAAGTGTTAAGAACCAATGGGCATAGGAGGGACCAGTTACTCAGAGCTATTCCTGTGGGACATTTGAGATCCTTCACCTTACTTGGTCCAAGCGTCAGGGGCACACAGGGATCCACAGAGTGATGGCCAAGGGAACTTCCCGACAGTGAGGTAAGTCTGGATGGCTCCCAGACACCACAGTGCTCATTTCCAGCAGTTTGACCCATCAGCATCCTGATTGTCTCATTTCCACACAGTAAGGAGGAGCTGACTGCATGAGTCACAGGGATGATGTTAGTCGATAGGAGCCACCTCCAATTACAAGGAAGGTCTGCTCTGGGCCCTGGTGACGTGCAGACCCAGTGACATTTAAAAAGTGTCTCACTTTACCCCCTGGTTTTAGAGTTTTGTGTTTTGTGAGTAACTCAGTTGCTTTTAAGAGAGAAGAGAGAGAGGACAAGGAATGAGTGCCCTTCTAGAAGACTCTCCAGAGGAAATTTTTCTACCTCTGGCTTCTGGCTTCTCTGGTTTCTTATTCTGGGTTCTCTGAAGAGGCAGCCAGGGACTTCTGCTGGCCAAGCTGGTGGGGTAAAACATACGAATTCAGGTGGGACTAAAGTCAGTTACACTAGGTCGTGAACTTGTTTCTTTCTACTTCTTACTGGCAGAGAGACTTCAAGTAAGTCACATAACCTCTCTGGACCCCACTTTCCTTTTCTGTGAAATGTCTGTATGAGGTTTGTCAGTAGTGAATATGCAAGTGCTTTGAAAACACTAGATATGTGTTCATTAATCTCTTGAGTGTTCTGGGAATGGCACACCTCCTCCCTGGCCAACAACGCCAACCACATCTAGGGATCCTTTTCGGCTTTGAGATTCTGCCCTTTTTTCCTTTCGCTTATTATTTTTTTTCTTTTTTGCTTGAGTTTGCTCAGTCCCAACCTCCAAATTCTCATCTTTGTTCTAAAATTCTAAGCTGGAGGGAAATTGAGCCAAGAGAAGAGACAATGATGACCAACCCTCAGCTGAATGGAGCGATTTCCCTGATGCCACTGCACTGGTACAGCTTCTATTCCCTACCTCCTGGTCCCATCAGCATCACAGGCAATGTCAGGGTCCATGGAGAAATCACGTCTAACACTCTCAACCCCACAGTTTATTGACTTTCTCAACACCAATGATTATGGTGCACACCTAGACCAAATATTGTCCAACTGGAGACTTCAAAGGCTGTTGGCATCAATATTTAACCATCTGCTCACTTGTCCAAGGAGAAAGGGAGATCAGTTACTGTACTTTGTGTTCAGCCTCTCAGTGCTCTCCAGCTAAAGACCACCAGGACTGTGCCTATTGTTGAAAACATTGGGTTTATTACTTTTTGCAGCTGGCGAGAGTGCATACTACAGAGAACTGTGGAGTATCTCAGTAACAGCTTGTTAGAAAGAACCTATTACAGGATTTGGGCTTTGACTGGGTGCTATTGAGGAGGGTCCTAGGAAGTGGAGCTTTGCTCTGAATTTGACGCTGTCAGAAATCAGGACAATTTCATGATTCTTCACAGAAGAGTGGTGATGATTTCTTGGTCACACATCCAATGTTCATATATGTATAGCTGGTTTTGTTGGTCTATATGTCTATTCCTGAATGAACACCACACACTCTTAGTTACTAGAGCTGTATGATAAGTTTGGTATTGTTTATTTTTCTTTTTTGTAATGCAATGTTGGACCTAAGCTTTGATTTCAAAAACATCCATTTTGGGTTTTTTTTTTTTTTTGCTTTAAAAAAATCTTTATTGTATAAGTTTTCAAAACACAAAAGCAGAGAGAAGAATATAATGAACTCCTGTGGCCCTATCATCATTCCAGCTTCAATAATTAAAAATAATTTTGCCTTTTTTTTATATCTATCCTTCTTACCTCCCCCATCCCCTGAATATTTTAAAGCAAACCTTAAATCATATCATTTCACCTATAAATACTTCAGTTATATATCTCTATTAACTAAAGATCAAAAACGAAAGCATCCATTTTTTACGAGGCATCTGCTTCAACGAAGGCACTTGAATAAACACATTGCCAGCCACAGAACTAGGTGAAGAGCCGGGCTGCCTCCCCTTAATGAGATTCCTTTGTTTTAGTGATCTTAACTGATTTCAACAACTGACCATTTGGGCCACTTACTGTCTTTCTCTGCCCTGCTTTAAATTCCCGCTCTTATTTTTTCCCTCTCTGTTAATCACCTTCCTCCCCGCCCCCAGCTTCCATCCCTGACCTACTGATGTTGCCGTTTCCTCTTAAGAACTGGATCCCCACCTGGAGCATGGTCCGTGGCTCCACCTGGGGCACAAACCCAGAACCTTCTGCATGAAAAGCAGATGTGCTAACCACTACACTATGGAGACACCCCACTCCCCGCTCTTATGTTTTAAATTCACCAATAGTGGGCCTGGGAAACCCTAGACATGCAACCTTGCTGTGTAGCCCTAGGTGTGCTGTGTAATTTTCAGGTCCTGTGAGTGTGATGAACGTTTATCTTTTTCAATGTTTCCTGATGATTATTGCTGAAGGACATCTTGCAATCATAGTAAGAACCACGAGGACGGGTTCAGCCACAGTATTGGTTATTGATTGGCTGAGAGTGGCACAAAACAGGTATTTACTAGAGTGATTCCTGCCCCCTTCTTTTTTCAGAAGTGTCTTGACTCTCCTTGTGTCTTTCAGCTTGTCAAGTTCCTTGAAAAACTTGTAGAATCAGTCGAATACATAGAAAGAACTGACATTGTATAACATTAAGCCTTCCTATTTGTAAATGTGCACACCTCCCTCTTCATTCGGGCCTTCTTTAATACCTTTCAATAAAGTTTTATAATTTGCTTTACATAGATCTTAACGCACATTTTGTTAAACGTATTCTTAGCTAACTTGTTAAACCTCCTGTTGAGGTTATTTGCAAAGATAGTTGCAATAATCTCTACAATCCTTGCCCGTTTGTATGCTTGCCCGTTTGCAATACTTGTCGCTTCTCCTGTAAAGAAGTGGAATCTTTTCCCCAACCCCTGGAAGCCGGGCTGGTTTTGTGAATTGCTTTGATCAACTGAATAGGATGGAAGTGACGCTGTGGAACTTGCAAGTCTAAGCCTCAAGAAGTGGAGCAGCCTCTGCTCTTGACCTCTTGAAACACGGCTCTGCAACTACCATGTGAAGAAGCTTCGTTTAGCCACATAGAGCAGAGATGAGATATTCTAGCTGAAGATTTCTAAACCTACTAAACAACAGCCAGTGTCAATCACCAGACATGCTAGTGAGGCCATCTTAGTAGCCACATAGAGCAGAGATGAGATATTCTAGCTGAGAATTTCTAAACCTACTAAACAACAGCCAGACATGGTATTGAGGCCATCTTAAGCATTCAGCTCTAGTTCAAGATGCCAGATGATATAGTCACATAAATGACCTCACACAGCACCAGAAAATGAGTTGCCCAGAGCCCAAATCACTGACACAAAGAATTGTGATTAAATAAAATGGTTATTCTTTGAAGTTACTACATTTAGGAGTGGTTTGTTAACAGAGCAATAAAAAACCGAAACACCCTGATGTTATGTCTAATTGTAGATTCTTTGGAGTTTTCTATGTAGAAATTTCATATAATCTAAACGTAATGGCATTTTTGGTTTTTTTATTTCCCATCTTTATACCTTTTTGTTTATTTTTCCTACTTTGCCGGTACAGTGTTGAATACAAGGCATGGCTGTGAATATATCCTTGTTTACTTCTTCATTTAAAAAGAAATACTTCTAATATTTTACTATTAAGAATGAAATTTGCTGTCATGTTTTGTAGATACTGCTTATCAGGTTTTCAAAAGTTTCCTTTTATTTTTATTTTTAAGAGCTTTTGGGTCATGATTAAATATTAAATTTTATAATTTTGCAGGGTATCTATTGAGATAGTTTTTCTCTTTTAATCTGTGTAGGTAGTGAACGACATTGATGAATGACATTTATTTACTTTCTAATTTAAAGTTATTCTTATACTTCTGGTATAAAATTTGGTCACGATATATATCCCTTTACACATTCCTGGATTCATTTGCTTATATTTAGTTTAGAATATTTTGCATATGTTGGTGGGATTGACCCATAACTTTTCCCCACATACTTTCCTTGTCTCGTTTTGACACAAAGTTTAACTGGCCTCATAGGGTGAACTCCAGAGTACTTACTCTGTATTTTCTGAATGAGTTTGCATAAGATGGAAATTATCAGTTTCTTGAACCTTTGGTAGAACTTGCCTGTAAAAGCAACTGAGCTGACATTTTTCTTGTAGGAAGATTTTCATTTCTTTTTCTGATTCAATTTCTTTAATGGTTCCAAGACTAGTCAGGTTTTCTAATTTGTTTTGGGTCAGTTTTGGTAAGATAAACTTCTCTAGGAATTTTTCCATTTTGCCTGTTTTTGGATTAATTTTGTTCATATCGTCCTCATATTATCTTTTCCATCTTATATTTTACTGGTAATTATTTTCTCTTTTTTCATTCACAATATCATTTGTCTTTTCTTTTTTTCCTTGATCAATCTCACTAGAGATTTACTTTTTAAATAATCTTCAGAGAACTAACTTTTGGTTCAACTGATCTTCTGTACTATATTTTTCTTTCAAAATTTCACTAATTTCTGCTGTCTCTCTGTTATTTCACATATTCTACTTTCTTTGGTTCTGTTTGATTGTTTTTCTTCTAATGCTTTGGGTTTGGTGCTTTCTTTAATTTGCAGGCTTTCTGCTTTTTAAATATAAGCATTTAAGGCCACAAATTTTCCTCTTAGTGACATTTTTGCTGCATCTTACAAGTTTTGGTATATAGTATTTTATTATGGTTTAGAGTAAAAAAAAAAACTTTATTTAGAAAAGTTTTAGATTTACAGCAAAATTGAGAGGAAGGTGCAGAGATTTTCCATCTAACTCCTTGCAACCTCACATGCATAATCTCTCCCATTATCAGTGTCCCCCTCTGGATGGTATATTTGTTACAATGAACCTACGTCGACACATTATAACCACTCTCAAATTCATAGTTTACCTTAGGGTTCGCTCTTGGTATTGTACATTCTACGGGTTTGGACAAATGTATAATGACATGTATTTATCATTATAGTATTTTACAGAGTACTTTCAATGTCCTAAAAATCTTTGTGTTCTGCCTATTCATCTCTTCTTTCCCCCAGCCCCTGTCAACCTCTCATCTTTTTTACTATTTCCAGCTTGCTTTTTCCAGAATGTTAGACAGCTGGAATCATACAGTAAATAGCCTTTTCAGATTGATTTATTTCACTTAGTAATATGCATTTAGGGTTCCTCCAATGCCTTTTCATGGCTTAATAGTTCATTTCTTTTCAGTGCTGAATAATAGTCTATTGTCTGAATGTATCCATTCAGCTACTGAAAGACATCTTATTTGCTTCTAAGTTTGGCAGTTACGCATAAAGCTGCTAAAAACACCAGCATGCTGGTTTTTATGTGGACATAAATTTCCAGTTCTTTTGGGTAAACACTAAAAAGTGTGATTGCTGGATTGTATGGTAAGAGTATGCTTACTTTTGTAAGAAACTGCCAAACTGTCTTCCAAAGTGGCTGTAGCATTTTGCATTCCCACCAGCAATAAATAGGAGTTTCCGTTATTCCACATTCTCACCAGCATTTGGTGTTGTCTGCATTCCAGAGTTTGGCCATTCTAGTAGGTGTGTAGTTGCATCTTGTTGTTTTAATTTGCATTTTCCTGATAACATATGACATGAAGCATCTCTTCATATTCTTATTTCGCATCTGTATATCTTCTTTGGTGAGAAGTCTGCTCCTGACTTTTGCCTATTTTTTAATTGGGTTCTTTGTTTTCTTATTGTTAAGTTTTAAGAGTTCTTTGTATATTTTGGATACTAGGGCTTTATAGAATATGTCCTTTGCAAGTATTTTTTTCCCAGTCTGTGGCTTGTCTTTTCATTCTCTTGATATTGTCTTTCAGAGAGCAAAATTTTTTTATTTTAATGAAGTCCAGCTTATAATCATTTCTTTCATGGGTTGTGCCTTTGGTGTTGTATCTTAAAAGTCTTTATTATATTCTAGGTCAGCTAGATTTTCTTCTGTTATCTTCTAGGAGTTTTATAGTTTTGTGTAGATTTAAGTTTTAAAGTTTCTTTCATAATTTCTTTATTGACACATGACTTATTAAGAATTGTGTCCTTAAATATACAAATGAATGGAATTTTATATAACTTTTTTTTACTGTTGACTTCTAATTTAATTTGTGGTCAGAGAATAGTCAGTATGATACCAATTCTTCAAAATTTACTGAGCCTTACTTTCTAGCATAAGGTCAATTTTTGGAAAACACTTCATGGGTTTTTTAGAAGAATAAATCTTTAATTGGTGTAGACTTTTATACACATTTTCAAAAAAACCAAGCTTGTATGTTAAACTATTAAAATCTTATACTTTTTTACTATCTTTTAAAGCCTATTTAACCAATTAGTATTCGAGAGAGGTATGTTGAGATCTTCCGCTGCAAATGTAGATTTTAAAATTTCTTCCTATAACACTATTGATTTTACTTCTTATATTTAGCGGTTAGGTACATACAATGCAGTTTTAACATTTTTTAGGGAACTAAATCTTTTAATATTATGTAGTTACCTCTGTAGCGGACCCTGTTGAGGCTCCATTTGTAACTCCTCAGAATTTACCTCTACACCGAAGGCTTCTTTCTGTGAGTATCTGCAATTCTGTTTGGAACACACATTTGGACCAAATGCGGAGCAAGCTGAAGTCCTGAGAGTTAAGACTCCAGAAGTAGCCCGAAACCAATGATGGATGGGGATTTGGCGGATAAATACCACCCCCCTTCCTTGTCTCCCAGTTGGGATTATTCTAAAATCTGTTTAACAGTCTTCTAGGGTGCCCCACATTGTTAATGGGTTTGATAACAACAACAACAACAACAACAACAACAAACAACAACAACAACAAAAAGTCTTTATTGGCTTTAATCTCTTTCCTGTTCCACTTCCTTACTATCCTACTAATGTTTCCTAAAATAAATTATTTGCACCCAAATTCAAGGCATTTTATTTATTCCTAATAATAAGGGAGGTTGTCTATTTAACTGGGATGCTTTTTGAAGGCAAAGGGTGTGCAATAATAATGACGCTAGATAGCGGGAGTGAGCGAGGACTGTTTGAGGCGAACAGGATGTACAGTCATCCTACTAATTAGGCTTTTTGTCCTGAAGTTCATTTGTTTTATGTCAATAGTTACCCCACCTTCCTTTTGCTAATGATTTGCCTAGTATTTCTTTTTCCGTTACTTTACTCAGCTTTTCAAATCTTTTATTTTGGGTGTATTTCATTTAAATAACATACAGTGCTAGATTTTTAAAAATACAACAGATTGTACTTTAACTGATGAATGTAGGCGATTTATAATTTATCTGTAATCTATTATTTAGCCTTGTTTCTACTATCTTATTTTTGGCTTTCTATTGTCCCACTTTTCTTTATCCCTTTTCTTGGCTTTTAAAAAAATCGATTGAGTTTGTGTTTGTTGTTTCTTTAGTCTATTTTCCCTTTTATTGGTTTGGAACTTATACCAATTCTGTCATAGTGGTTACCGCAATAACGTTCCCCTGAATACTTAAAATCTGAAGTTACTATCTTATCCACTTTCCCTTTACCAAAAAATTCAAGGATCTTGGAGTAGTTTCATTCTGATTCACCCCTACCCAATTTACATACTATTATTTCCCTGTATTTTATTTGTCAGGATTTGGAAATTACAGATTAGATATTATTGTTATCATTTTATAAGGCACCATTCTCTTTGTACTCATCTCTTTGCTCGCCATTCTTTTTTGTATCTTTCTTTTGGAATAATTTTCCCTCTTCCTAAAATATTTCTGTTAGAAGTTCTTTTAGTGTTAATGATAAACTGTAGTTTTTATTCATCTGATAATATCTTTATTTCGCCCTTTTATGTGGAAGATTGCTTTGCTAGGTACAGCATTTTAGGTTAACAGTTATTTTTGCCCATCATTTAAAAGATATTATTTTACTTTCTAATGATTTTCATTATGTTGTCTAAATGTATATGATCCATCTTTTTCTTTTTGACTACTTTTAAGATCTCTCTGTCTTTGATATACTCTAGTTTTACTGCATTTATTTAGATGTGAAAGTCTCTTTATATATCTTGTGTATTAACCTTCCCGCATTTGTATATTTATGTTTGTCATGAGCTCGACAAAAATTTCAGTCATTACTCTTAAAATATTACCTCTCCTCCATCTTTCTATTCTTTCCTTTGAGCTTTTATGTGTTAGAGCTTTTCATTCTACACACCATATCCCTTAATCGCTTTTTCATATTTTTCATCTCCTTGTCTGTCTGTGTCTTATTTCAAAAAATTTCTTCAGATACATCTTCCAATTAAATAACTCTCTTCAGCTGTATTTAATGTGCTGCTTAACTTTTATTTACATTTTTATTTCAATAAATTATATTTTTATTTATAAAAATTTTATATTGTTCCTTTTCAAATTAGATCACTTTCGATAGTCTCTTGCTGCCTGTTCATTTTTGTAATTTTGTCTTTTATTTCTTCAAGTATTTCATAATTATTTCATATTTCATATCTGATAATTTCAATATCTGAAAGCCTCGGGGGTCTAAATCTATTGCTTCTTAGTCTGCTGACTCTCATTCGTGGTGATTTGTTTCCTTCTGTATTTAATGACCTTTCATTGTCAACTTATCTTTGGTTGATCTTAATCTCTGAAAAATTTAGGAGAAGATATTCTCCAGAGAGGATCTGAATTTTTATTTTCGAAGTCTGGGATACTACCAACTGGAGTCCCTTCTAGGATACCAACTTAATCCAGGAGTCTCAGGTTCAACTCTCCTACCTTGTCACAAGTCCGACTCTAGCCTTCTGTTACAGAGCTATATACACATTTGCCCCTGGGTAATCCACATTTTGTGAGTGCTAATTACTCTGGACTTACTTTACAGTTCCAAGCTTTTATACATGCTGATCCTTCTGCCTGGAATATGTGTCCTTTCATGTTTATTTTTTATTTTTTTCACCTGATTAATTTTTCTAAGACTAAGTTCAGACCTGTCTTTCTCCAAGATACCTTTGCTGACAACCTCTAGTCTGGATTAGATGACTCTCCTGTATGTTCCCAGAGCACCTTGTATCTAATTCTGTCACTGCATCTTTCATGCTGTATTGTAATAATCTGCTTACTCATCTGTCTTCCTCCAAGAGATTTCTTCTGGGCAGGGGTCATGGCGTAGTTATGCTGTTTCCCCAGTGTCTATCTAGTACAGGGCCTGGTCAATGGTAGATTAACAAAGGTCTTTGAATAAATGAAAGCACATCTGAGTGAATGAATGAATGGGTGAATGACGATGGTTTTGGAATGGACAATTTGGGGTTTGCAAAGAGGGTGAAGGATGGTGAAGGGAGATGAGAAGAAAAGAGAAAAGGGAATAACTGGTGTTTTAAAACTGTTTGTTTTGTTCTCCTTGCTTACGTGGAAGAAAGTTGTCATTTCATCAAGTTTATTGAGCATCCAGTATGTGCTAGGCACTCTGCTAGATGCCAGTAATACAAAGATAAAGACCAAAACAAAATAAAATAGAAACAAAACCCACTTCCTTACTTAACCCTCTCCCCTCCACCTGCCATTTAAGGCAGATTTGGCTTGAGCCAGGAAGCCGGGCCCTCAGGGATTCAGCACCAGGGAATGCAGTGGGGCATGCTCTCTTCTCACCTAACCTTCACCCTTGCCCCTCAAGGCTGACCAGCAATGTACCCCTTCTCCAAGTCCTGCAACTCCCATATGCCCGAGCAATTTAGGCACTTGCTTTATCTCATTCTGGATGAGGCACCTGAGAAGGTTAGGGGAGCAGTTCTGGCAAACTAAGGGAGGCTGCAAAGGCACACCTGCTCAAATGAGCCTGGAGAAGTGCACAGGGACAGGGAGCTGGGAGGGGGTGCTGTCAGGTAAGGGTGGAGGGACCGACTAGAGATGTTGCTGCCCTGAGGGCAAGGACCAAACTTGCTCCAGTGCTAAGGTAGAGACAATGGCCTTGGGAATTGCTCTGCGGGATGGTGGAGAGTCAGAGCTGGAGTTTAGGGGTTGGGAAGGGGCCAGGAATTCAAGGACCCCTAGAGGCATTAGGGAAGAGAGGTCAGAACACACAGAAGGCCTCCTCTGCCAGCTTTTTAATTACCTTCTCTCTTCACACAGATTATTATCTTTCCTGTGAATTGTTTCAGAGGCCGGCTGGAATAGGGGGGAGGGCATGGGCATGGCCTGGCTACACAGTGGCCCAATCTTTCTGTATTTTGATGTTTGTACGGTTAGGGAGTCGCCCTTCTCCAGTCTCCTGAGCTTCTGGGAGCAGGGCAGGTTCTGGAAGGCGGAGGCCAAGGGTTGCATCACGTCTCCCTGACATGCTTGGGAGCAGTAAGCCTTCTCCTCCCCCATCATTTCTCTGGAAAGTCGAACCTTATTCTCTCACAGCTGGAGGAAGCCCAACAGCTTTTCCTGGGGATAATGATTGTTTCAAAGGCTCGTTTTGTAAGGAAGCTAGGGAGAAGGCTTAGATATGAGGGATTAAAAATCAGTTCTTCACTTGACCTAGCTTTCTGGGCCAGGGGAGTGAGTGAGAATATAGGAATAGAGACGGAAAGAACGCTTGGCACGCCGCTGAGGGAGGCTTTGGGAGGAGGCCAAGCACGGGGGCTTGAATCTTTTGTCCTTGTTAGGGCCCAGGTCAGGGGTCAAAGGAATGTGCTTGAGGTCCTCTCTCACCAGTCCAGAGTTACCCAGGTGCCAGGTGCCCGGTGCCCAGAGAAGGGTGATTCCAAGGCACTGCCTTCCCTTGCTCAGAACAGCTCCCTTAACGCCCAGTAACCAGGATCCAGCTTCCCACAGTTTATAACAGTTGTGCGTTTTGGGCAAGTGGTCTCTCTAGTCTGGGCTTGCCGAAAGTGTCCCAGGAACCAGGCGTTTGTTCGGAGGGAAGGGAAGCGGATGGGAAGCGTAAGAGATCCTTAGGAATGGCATGGGACAGTCATGGGGTTAGGTTACTGATGTTAGTTCCCATAAGACCCTTGGGGGACTGGGCCGGAAATTTAATAGTCTATAAGGTTCTAAGGGTGCACAGCCCATATCCAATGAGAGCACGGCCCGTGAACCCAGAGCAAACGCGACGGGGTTTCACTCCCAGGTCCCTCTCGCGCGGCCCGCAGCATGCCCCGTCTGCGCATGCTCACACTCTTCCGCAGGCGAGACCCGCGCGCCCTCGCGTGGATCTCCCCTCGCCTCGCTTCCCGGCGACTCAGGCCTCCCCACCGTCCCCGGGGGAGGGCGGGTCCCGGGGCGGCTCAGGCGCTAATCCCCACCGGGCCAGCCTCGTCCTGCTCGC